TAACAAATAAATGATCTTCTACGACAATTAAACTGGATAGAATTCTATGAAGAATGAGATGACAGTGTTACGTTATTGGTGATGAATTAGTAACAGTAGTACCGGGAATGGGACAGTAATGCAAATTTACAACTATTCACATGAAATAATAAAAGACATATCAGTGGGTGGTTTAAACTTGCATTCACGTCACAACTATAGACAGCCAAAACTGATCTAATTCACCTGTACCTGAATCAGAATTGTAAACACGATAACCAATACAATTTCTATGTAAAAAGTGCACTAGTGTTTTAGCTACTTTGTTTTCAAGAGTACGTTTATCTCCGTTCGGTTGAATTTAAATACAAAATTAATTCCGACCCAAGGCTTCGGCAATTATCTTCTTTTTTTTCTAAAAGTTCCAAATGTGCGCTTTTAATTCATAAAAAATATATCAAAATCGCTACATGTAACTTAATGCCATATCGGCTCCGTGAGAAGTTCTTATTTTCTCCATTCATATCAACAGCACAAAGAGAACGTATGCAAGTTGAGCTAACAAACTGTCGTGAAATTGAGTCCACAGATGCGGTGATTATAGAATAATACATGTACCAGAAGGACTATACAAAACCGCCGATGGACAATTTCTTTGTATAGGACTTCGAAAGTTGACATTTCATAACATCACGAAAGACTTACCTTTAGTGAATATGCTACAGAACACCGTGCCCTGTGTGCTGCTAGCTAATATCGCCAAGGGGGCCGTTTCGTCACATCCGGTCCAATCAAACGGTATAAACCAGCGATCATGATAATCTGATATGCTTCAAAATGTTGGTCGTGTGTCAGAATCCAGGGGTGGATCCAGGATTATTTAAAGGGGGANGATTTTGAAGAGACTAGCGCACTGGCCAAAAACTAACAAATAGAGTTGAACTTCTTCGACAAATAAGCTGGCCAAGAACTAACCAATAAAGGGTCTTCTATGACGAATAAACTGACCAAGAACTCATAAATTAATTATCTTCAACGACAATTTAACTGGGTAATTTCTTAGGAGTAAATTACATTCTACGAATAAACTGGCCAAGAACTAACAAATAAATGATCTTCTACGACAATTAAACTGGATAGAATTCTATGAAGAATGAGATGACAGTGTTACGTTATTGGTGATGAATTAGTAACAGTAGTACCGGGAATGGGACAGTAATGCAAATTTACAACTATTCACATGAAATAATAAAAGACATATCAGTGGGTGGTTTAAACTTGCATTCACGTCACAACTATAGACAGCCAAAACTGATCTAATTCACCTGTACCTGAATAAGAATTGTAAACACGATAACCAATACAATTTCTATGTAAAAAGTGCACTAGTGTTTTAGTTACTTTGTTTTCAAGAGTACGTTTATCTCCGTTCGGTTGAATTTAAATACAAAATTAATTCCGACCCAAGGCTTCGGCAATTATGTTCTTTTTTTTCTAAAAGTTCCAAATGTGCGCTTTTAATTCATAAAAAATATACCAAAATCGCTACATGTAACTTAATGCCATATCGGCTCCGTGAGAAGTTCTTATTTTCTCCATTCATATCAACAGCACAAAGAGAACGTATGCAAGTTGAGCTAACAAACTGTCGTGAAATTGAGTCCACAGATGCGGTGATTATAGAATAATACATGTACCAGAAGGACTATACAAAACCGCCGATGGACAATTTCTTTGTATAGGACTTCGAAAGTTGACATTTCATAACATCACGAAAGACTTACCTTTAGTGAATATGCTACAGAACACCGTGCCCTGTGTGCTGCTAGCTAATATCGCCAAGGGGGCCGTTTCGTCACATCCGGTCCAATCAAACGGTATAAACCAGCGATCATGATAATCTGATATGCTTCAAAATGTTGGTCGTGTGTCAGAATCCAGGGGTGGATCCAGGATTATTTAAAGGGGGATACCTTTTTCTTTTAAGAACGACTGACCTCATATGCAAAGCTAATCCTTGGGGGTTCTGTGTTTTGGAGGCCAAACGGTGCCATTTGGTGCAGTTTAGAACTGTGATTCAGCTCTTCGAGAGGGGAATATTGGTGTGATCGTTTTCCAGAAACCGAAGGGGAACCCCCTGACACACGTTACAGGGCATTTACTGTAGTCTTGCTTCGTGTTACTTTAAAAGAAACTATTTCTAGAACAAGCATGCATGCTGATCCCTTGCGCCTCCTCAACCCCCCTTTCCGCCACCACACAGGCACACGTACAACACACGCGACGAAAATGTTTATATGTTACTCTCTCTTTTCTTATTTTCCTAGAAACACAAGCATTTTTGACAAAAGTTGACACAATATAGCGTTACCGCGCTGACGAATGTGTTAGAGAAGACAAGCTCCATTTGATCTTGATGTGCCGAACATCCACCGTATAACAAGATCACTTTGAAAAATGTGTTAGAGAAGACAGGTTTCATCAGATTGTGCTATCCCGAATTCTGCCGAGAACATGGAACAAAGCACTCGCGTTGACGCCACATTCTTCAGCTCAGATGTTAACTTGATGCATTAACTTGTCGCACGAATTTGGAAATATTGATCCAAGGGCTCAGTGGCATGAATTGAATCTAACGTTCTATCTATACATATCTTTATACATTTACCTCCACACAACAGTCTTAAATATCGAATAATGTTTGGCACAAATAACACCGCTCATTTTAAACCATTGCTTGTTAAAGCGCAACAACTCAATGAGATGTTCTTGTTTTATTGCGTCAAAAACAGCTCAAAGCCGCCGGTTTTCCGGCTTTCAACAAAAAAAAACTGTGCCAATTGTGAAGTTTACACATAGTGTTTCAAAAATAGTCAAAATTTAAGTTACTACGTGCGCCTCAGCATTTTTGCTGCACATCAAGCCGCTCTTGCCTTATGGCTGCTAACACGATATTCTGTCGTAAAGATATGTATCTGAGTTGTCCCGTATTGCAGGTGATGTTAATCTTTATTAACCTGAACACAGCGTCTCCTGGCGCCTTGATGAGCGTCGTTAGGGAAGGGTGGCTGGAGTTGATTGACGTATTAAGAAGACTGAACACACTGCCTCAGTTGGTATATAGATAGGCTACATGTGATTGTAAGCATCGGTAATTTAACGTAACGGAATGCACGCTTTTGATGACACGTAACACGCACACAGCACACACCATGCACACACGCACGCACGCACACACACACACACACACACACAGCCTGTGATTAACCACTGGCCCAACTGCTAATGCCGGTAAAAATCGCACTGGGCCAGAATTTCTGAAAAATAGTCCGACCAGTGGAATTTTTATCATCTGTAAAATGTACTCCAACCTGCTTTGTAAATGTACAGGCCAAATGTTCAAGTCTTTTAAAATAACATTTTTAAAATTCCTTGTTTCTGATAAATTTGGAGGAAGCCTGTTTAATCTCAATTTTCAATTTAAGTTTTATTTATTCATTTCTGAATTTTGGTTCGGGCCGTGCAGTACCAGTAAGTTCTCAGATCCTCGTGCCCCAGATGGCATGGGAGTTGAAAATTATTTGGCACAGACTATACATGTGCTGAGAGTATACACGCACTAACAGCACACACACATACACATACACACACACACACACACATGCATGCATTCAGACCACTGTTCATAAACACCCAGGCACAAACTGAAACAGCACACACAAGCACGAATGTAGGCCTACATCACGCGCGCATGAGTGTGCCTATTTTTCACATCGCACTCTGTAAATCATATACTTCGGATTTTTGATATCTTGTTTAATTTTGATTTCATAAGTCATGCAATTGACACTGGGAACAACACACTGTATTAATACTTCAGTTTTCGTTTTATTGACAATACTTCATCTTAGAACTGTCAACTTGAGTCTAATTCACTTTTAAACTTGTCGTTAAATCTGGCCCAGATCTCATGAATTGGCTAAGCACAGACATTACAAATGAGATATCAGAGAGCCCTTTGATGTGTGATCGGAATCTGAAGACTACCAAATGCCTTACTTCAATCAATTTACTTTGAAGAAGATCTCGCTGATGTGTCCATAAAACGCAGTGAAGACATCTCAAAGCAATCAAAGACAATTTAATATTAGACGTCATGATAGTATCGTAATTTCGTGAAGCCACGGTCTGCTGCTCCTGGTCAGGTGACGAGATCTCGTCACTGACTGAGATGTCACGTTACTCATTCACATATATTTCTCACTTCCCCGCAAATGTCATGCGGCGGTCAGTAAATACTCCTTTTAACATTCAGTAGTCACATGTGCATATCAATAGGGCGCTAACAAGATTATCAAATTGCGATTTCACATTCCCATTGACTTGTGTGGCTGCATGTCGCCGTTTCCATGGACGTTTCATTGACAACTGATTGGGGTTCCAGTAAAAAAAAAGAGCTGTATTTACTATTAATAAGTTAAACTAAACTGACACTTTCCAACACTCGTCTTGTCAAACATTGGCAAACTTGACTTCAAGTTCTGGCGTTTTGCTGGGTGTGCTATAATCACCTTAATCTTAACATATGTATATGTAAATGCTGCATATACTGGGTATATTAATATACATGTAAAAGTCAGCATTATCAATACGAGCCACGCTCACCCCCACCCCCCACCCTATATGCACACGCACCTTGTGTATACCGACATATGCAATACTTATGATAACGATGAACTTATTAATTAGTTCTGTTCTTCGTCGTTAATAGAATTAATGTCAGTAAATAAACAATAAAAATAAAGTTTTGTCATCCTGACTAATACAGCTGTTCGTATGATGCACACGGCCCAGTCCCATAATGACATTAAATGACAAGTGCGTGCTATAATCTTAATGACATGATATAATAAGCATATAATTTAATTTAAATTATTGTTTTTCTTTTTATCAAGAGCTTATAAAATATGTAGGTTTTACCTCCAATATTTCTGTGACTTTTATAAGCTCTTGATAAAAAGAAAAAACAATAATTTAAATTGATACATACAGAGCTAATGAAACTCTTCTCTCATATAATTTAAGTTCCATTAAAATTGACATATAAGTTATCACTACTGATGCATAGTGGTTTTTAGTTCACGTGATAACAAGGCATCTTCACATTTCAGCACATTGCCGTCTTCTATAGCTGTATAGTTTACATTGCATAGAATACATCATTGCGTTCACAAAGTCGCGCAACTTAGGCGAATACAGAGGTTCAACTGAGGTACATAAAATCTTTAAACGTACAAATTGTTCGTGTTCTAGCTACAGAGTAACTGTAAAACTTCCCCAGCAATCCGCCATTGGTGACGTCACATGGTCCTGACGTCATGTAATGCTAAAAAAGCGACTCCTCAGTTCTATCTGCATGTAGTGCACATCAACGATTAAGAACGAGAACAACAAACAGTGAATAGTTTACATGTATCTGCAACACGACTTTTAGCACATGACGTCACTTTTCGTCCTCCTGTTTCCCACACTAAGAACACGGGTATACGTGTAGCATACTGAATTCAGACAACTGTTTGAAAGCACCGGTAAAATTGCCAAAATCAATGTTTTCACTTTTGACCTGTCAGGTTTGGCAGGCGGAATTAAATAAGATGCATTAAAGTGAAAATGCTTTTGCAGTGTCTTTGTCTGGATTTCTACGTGTAGTATTGGCCGTGGAGTAGTATCAGCCTGTCTACTTGGCGGCAGCTGAGTATCGTCTCTGAAATTCTGACAACAGCGGTTCCAGTTTTCCACATATCACAGTCATACGTCTGTACACATAATCAGAGTACACAAAAAACTATACTGCTCAGTAAGCACAGTGCCAGGTCATTTGGCCTTGACCTTGACCAGACTTGACCTTAGCCTCGGTATCATTTTCATCTGACCTTGACCCGAACACTACCAACACGTGTGCTCCGTCACTTTCTTGATGCACCTGTCACAGTCGACGTAGCAGCACCAGATATATTTACAGTTACATCTCTCCTCCACCATCTTGGACACCGACTTGAACCCGCGGCCGCAGCACATGGAGTCACACCCGGCACTTGTGGGACTTCCCTTTATACAGCGTCTGAAATACAGACACACGTTCATTTAACCCGGAGTCACAGTCAGCACATGTGGGTTTCCCCTTTATACAACGTTTAAAATACAGATACACGTTCATTTAACATGACGGTCGTGGAAATATAGAAAATTAAGCGTTCTTGCAAACTTAACGTTATTACCATTGCCATATGATAATATTTGAGAGAATGGCAGCCTAAGAACATCGTTACAGATGGAGCATGAGCACTTTTTCGGAACAACCTACCTGCCCTTGGTCCCGACAGATCCTGTAGATTTATCCGGGTTACAGTAATCCGGTGACGTGGTGTAGTAGATGAGGTCGTCCTGCCGGATTGAGCGTCTGTACCGATTTGTGGGCACCAGATGCCGTTTTTTCCCAACGCGTTCGTTTTTCACCTCCACTGCGACGCCATATTTTGTCATCAACATCTCTGCAATACTTTTGAACTTGGGTAGCGCACGCCAGCATGTCTTCACCGAACAGGAGCCAGATACCCCGTGGCACTTACACGTTGTACTTAAACTGTCCAGTACAACCTAGAATAAAGTCATATATTATGTTATATTAGAATATCCAAGGGGATGGGCGCAAAGCAAGAATATAGTCATGTATAATGTTATAGTATTGGAATATCAAAGAGACGGGGACAAAGCAAGAATAAAGCCATGTATAATGTTATATGTTTGCAGACCCAAGGGGGGGGGGACTAGAAAAACTGTTAAAGAATCGTAAGATCCAGGGGGAGAGGGCTACAGCAGCCATTTGTTCCTCCCTTAGTTTCTGATCCCCTCTTCCTTCCACGAAAAGTATAACAATCAAAACAAAATTTTCGCTCCTGTTCCTTTTATATTATATACTAAATGTATCTTAGACCATCATTTCTAATATTAACATAGCGAAACGAGACAAATGTTTATCTTTGTTCATCCGCAAGCTAACGTACTAACGTATATGTAGGATATCTGCCAGTGTTATAACACAAAAATATTCCATGTTGCTAATGAAGTGGATAATCCATAATTCTGAGGTGCCAAATGAACATGGAGGCTTGGCAGTGATGTCAGAAATAAGTACCAATCAGTCAGTCAAAAGGTGTATTGTTGAAGTAAGTTACACCAGAAAAGAGGACAGTGGCCCTGTCGTACTAGCAGAGCTCTGAATAGCTGTAAGTGCACTGGGTGACCTCACTCTTGTGTACCCATTGCACCCGAAATGTTTACATGTACTCCAAGTGAACCATATCGACACATCTACGTTCTTGATGCTGGCGACAGTGAAAGGTTCAATCTTCAACCCACAACACAATCAGCAGCGCCTATCACATCATTTGACACAGAGAATCACGTGCGTGGTGTACTAAACACCTACCAAGACCTATATGCTATGACGGTGACAGGCACGTCTTCGTTACTTCCGTAAATATGTTATTGAGGCAACACTAACGTGATAAAGCACGATATCTCATCTTTGTTTTAAATTGTTCGCTGAACAGTGTGAACATGTTATTGATCGCTTCAACGCACTTTACAAATAAACTTATGTTTCTACACAACCTAACGCAATGTCACACCTGGCGCAATGTTGATTTCTCCACAACATCTTCTCTAACGCAATGCATCCCTCACCTTTCTTCCAGAGGCATTATTATGCCTGTTCATAGTTGCCTTCTTTGAATTCCTTGCTCGCCTCCTTGCTGTCAGCCAAGGAGCATCGGAGAACGTCTCAGAAAAGCCTATACCGTACCGGACATTGTCACTACACCCGCCCCATTTGAAAGTGGGTGGCGCTGGGGTCGTGGGAAGAGCCCCGCAGTTACACTGGCTCAGAGCACCTGTGGCGCATGACCGAGATACCACGTGGGCCACTGCAGCAGACGACAGCGCGTGCACATACGCCTGCTCTCTGGTACCTGAAATTTATTTCAACCATTTATTACTTAACTATATCTCAGTCAGAATCAGATTTCGATTGAGCATGTCACTAAAACAAGTATGCCCCCCCCCCCCCCCCCNAAAGTGGGTGGCGCTGGGGTCGTGGGAAGAGCCCCGCAGTTACACTGGCTCAGAGCACCTGTGGCGCATGACCGAGATACCACGTGGGCCACTGCAGCAGACGACAGCGCGTGCACATACGCCTGCTCTCTGGTACCTGAAATTTATTTCAACCATTTATTACTTAACTATATCTCAGTCAGAATCAGATTTCGATTCAGCATGTCACTAAAACAAGTATGCCCCCCCCCATCCCTAGATAGGCCTAACCCACAGAGTAAAATTGGCCTACTGGAAAAAATGTTAGACATTCTACGGCACAACTGCCCCAAACCAAAGTCTTTTCTCTGGTAGGAGACGAATACACCACCTTGGTTTGGGAATGGGTGGACCCCCTTCTCGATGAGAAGAGGCAAACTATTGGCAATTGATTTATATTTTACTTTATAATGTGATTTAAAAAATACACCACATGAATAAAACCAGGCATATAGGCTCAAGCATTGCGATGCCGACTGTGTAATTTGATCTTAAAACATTTTCGTTTGATGACCAAGTTTAAAGAAATTGATATCTCGCGCCAAACGTTGGCAATTGTGCGTCTTTATGTCACCGTGGCGAGGCTTTATTGTAAGTGATACGCTTTAGCCGGGAGAACAGCAATCATTGTGGAATTAGCTGTGCTACCAACGGTAAAATGGACCGAAGCCACAAAGACCAACTGGTGACTTCACAAAGGAGGATAGGTCTACATAAAGAACAGGTGGGGTTATTACGGGAAATTAAAGTAGCTGTTAATCATTTCAATAAATAGTTTGCAAATTTGCCTCTGGTAAAACTTGTATAGTCTTTCAAGATCTGTGAAATATATAGTAAAATACTAAAGATTAAACAACGACCAAGTTAGGTGATGACACCAAGTACGTGCTTTATTACCCTAATGCGTTCCCGTTCTGTTGAAGGACTCACCTGAGGTCAGATCTTTGTTAAACCGGGGTGCCAGTAGAACTGAGGAGCAGTTCCAGCGTCTCTCCTTAAACCGGTCCTTACACGAGTACACTGCCTGAGTCGCTGCACTGACTAACAGTGGCATCAGCTCCAAGTTGTTACGACATAGCGCTACCTGTTGTGACGTCATACCACGAGATTTCATTTGCGAGCATAGTTTCGTGTTATTCCACGCCGTGGCATTCAGTTTGACCAGGCCGCTGAAAATTTAAGACAAAATTTTAATCGAAATACAAAAAAAAAAAGTGAGGAAGACATGGCGACGTTGTGACATTGAGATCGAGATGTTAAGTGTGAATTACAGCTGAAAGAAAAAGATTTGTGTGAAAGGTTACTTTGTGAATGTGTCTATGACAAGTCTGCGACATTCACAAGTCATCCCCAAAACTTATTCTACAACATACATGTAACCTTTAGTCAACCAAGTGCCTGCTCTTCAGCTACCTTAGGCCTAATTCACTCTTGTAGCAGCAGGTGCACAGGTTAGGTAAAATCCAAAACAAAGTTACAACATCAACGATTTTATATCAATACCATAAATAATATCAACTCTGGGGCAACCGTCTTGCAAACCACAAGGTTCTTAGAACTGATGAAGTTAATTTCATGTTGCCTTTAATCAATCCACAAGACAGGGCCGTTTTCTCCCATACTGCGAGCACGCGGCATGTCGGCTTCACCTCGCGGACCACCGGGACTTACACGGAGCATTTCGTTATTGGCCAAACTTTAGGCGAGGACAACACATGTTTTGGGAATTGAACGCTGTCTGTTCGGGTTGTGTGGGCACGTGGTTCGAGCACGCGGTATACACATCACGACAGTGTCTGCATCAGTGGTGTGTGTAGTTTGCACGGAGAGCAAATTAGTATAAACAGTTTACGCAAGACATGCGCTCTGTGCGGCAATGTGATCACAGGGGAACACCTCACCACATTTCTGCATATCTCGTGAAAAAGGTGAAGTAACACTCTAGCTTCTAGTTCGGCCAGAACCCTGTATACTGCAGGAGCAAAACTGGACGCAGAAGATCAAAAGCGTGACGCCGCGACCTTACAAAATTGCTCGCAAATTGAAGAGTAGCTAGCGCCTGATTCGTAGCCGACCAGCGCTGATTGGTTTTGATGTTTGGTTTCGGATCAAAAGGCAGCTATTCGCTGAGGAGAAGCCTCTTAAACATTAGTCTCTGTAGCTGAAAAAGTAAAAAGCTCATTAGCTATCCCCTGTAAACACTGCACCCGTGGGTCGGGCACGAATCCCGCCTGTACATCGGTGACAGTGAACTGTGACTGCTAGCAATGACATTGGATGACTCAGGGTGACTGAGACTGCTAGCAATGACATTGGATAACTCAGGGTGACTGAGACTGCTAGCAATGACACTGGGTGACAGTGACTGTGACTGCTAGCGGTGACACTGGGTGACAGTAACTGTGACTGCTAGCAATGACACTGGGTGACAGTGACTGTGACTGCTAGCGGTGACACTGGGTGACAGTGACTGTGACTGCTAGCAATGACACTGGGTGACAGTGACTGTGACTGCTAGTGGTGACATTGGGTGACAGTGACTGCGGGCCGTGACAGCTTGCGGTGACATGGGGTGAGGGTGATAATACGGTGTGTTCTGTTGTTTATAGCAGTTGTTGGACTAGAAGTGTCGGTCGTGGGTGTGGCAAAGGTCTGTTTGATTTAACCTTACAGACAGCAAGAGGCAAAAATGTATAGAAAAAAGTTAAGGCAAAGGGACGAATTAATTTTGTAGAAATATTGCGTGTTTTCATTTGAGAGAAAAGTTTCATTGGATCTTTGGACAGCTGTACTGAAAAAAAAAATTGTTAAGATCTTTACTTTTTTGTATCCTGCTGATGGTTTTGCCTAGACGAATACTGGACGAAGCCAGCCATCAGCAGGATACCAAAAAAAGTAAAAATCTCGACAATGAGTATTTTTTCAGTGAAAAACTAACATGCATCGTCCACCGTAAAATTGCAAGGTCGTTCCTCCTGTTCGGTGTATATGTACAAAATTGTATGAAAACGCAGTTAGGATGAAGTGATCATCAGAAATGACAAGCGAACTTGGTAGTGTGCATTGACGCAGAGTATAAAGTTTGGCATTGTGCAGTGATGTTGACTATATAGCGGATTTATGAAGAATCTCGCGACAACCCTCATCACTCTGCTTTGAAACAGTTTTATATATCACAAGTTTGGGTTTCCAATTTAACAGGTTATTTAACATGAAAGTAGTTTCATAACCTCAAACAGCATGATCATAAAGTGATGAAATATTTCTTAACAAACAAAGTCGAAAATACCTTAGTCAATAAAATACCGCTGATAGATGACAAAACGTGAAGATATTTGAACAAAATACAGGAGAGAAAATGTGTTATCTGAGACTTGTGGTGACATTAGCTGCGAGACCAGTCAGCGTCTCTACAAGGCCCGCCTCGTGTGTGGGCATGGTGCTGTCACAGTAGTTTAGGGTCGGGGGGGGGGGGGGTAAGGGGGGGGAATCACCATCTAGGATTTGAGGATGCATACCTTCGACCAATAGCGATGTTCCCACCCTCTGTCTCCCCGTACCGCCCTCCCGCCCAATCTCCCGCCTTCTATTCCGCCCTCTGTCTCTCCCTCCCATCCCCCATCTCGCCCGCCCTCCGCCGCCCTCCGCTCTCTATTCCGCCCTCCGCCTTCCACTTCGTCTACCCCCTCCCAGTCGATGTGCAAACCTACTGCTCACCTTTCCTTCGTACTTATAATCGGCCGCGTGGAGCACTAGCCCTCTGAGCCCTAATCTTTCACCAGGAAGACAAAGCACCCAATTTTTGACACGCTAATTAGACCAGTAAATATCACAGGCGAAAATATGTGGTTTACCAGAAAGACGCGCTGACTGACAGCAACTGTCGTCATAGGGCAAGGATTTCAACAGAAATACACATTAGGGCGTCTGCATGCATGCATGTGCACGAGACACGCGCCTTGAATTAGGAAAGGGACAAGACAATGCAGTTCTGCAAATAAGACGGTTTCAGTTGAACTACTGAGCCTTCGCCATTCATGGCTGACAGTTCGTTTAGTCATCTTTTATGCTTCTGTCCCAATAGGGAAACTGAAGGCGTTTTCACATTTTGAATCTAAATGAATCCTTGTAGGTGAAGCCAAATGTTGATAATAGAAATTGACAGATAAAAAAAATATTTTGATATATATCCCCCATATCTGATGGCATACATGTTTCTCCCAGACGGGGGCATCACCGCCTTCATCTTCTTGCGGCGGGAAAGAAAACCTTCGAAATCACCTGAACTGCAATGAGCCACAGGTCAAAGCAGGTCTATGTGAGTTTTGCGTGTATCTCTTTTGCCTTTATCTTAATAATCTTGTTATCTTGTTTTGTTTCTAAATTTTTGGTCCTCTCCATTGCCGCACAGCATACACTTTTACCCCTTTCTCTTTTTCTTACCTCTCTCTCTCTCTCTCTCTCTCTCTCTCTCTCTCTCTCTCTCTCTCAAAAACAGACAAAATTTTGACATGACATTTCTCTCCTGTAGATAAATAAACAGTCACCATTGCGTCATCCAAAAACGCGGCAAAAAGCATAATCGTGTTAGAGAACGAAGGCGGTGGTTATTTTCGCGATCGGTTACACGATAAGAACAACACTCCTTACTTAGAGTAACATTTCTGGTCTCTGTAAACGGAATAAAATGTGATGTTTTCTACATTCCTCCTGAGATATTCATCTAAGATAACAAACTGTAAGGTATGTAAAACTCGGAATGTAAAGATCATACATCCCTCATCAGTTACAGAGTGATTTTGTATTTTTTTTCTAACATTGGATTCGTTTGTTTTCTAATAGGGCCCTGTGCCAATGCTTTTCACAGTGTACTTGAACATGGATAGCGTAAGACAGGTTCAAGAAGGTCCGCCCCTATCACGACCAATATGGCGACCTGCCTGCCCTCTCTCTGATGATATCAGACATGTAGAAAAGCACATAAATCTTCCAAATGTTCCTAACATGACTGCAATAACGCACATATACAAGTTAAGGAAGAACTCACGTCTATGCCTACGCCAGGGTGACGGAGGGTGATGGGAAACATATTAAACCGTTGGCCACGGCGTTCTTCATATCAAGGTACTTCCAACCTACTTAATACCATTAACTTCCCTTGACTTTTTCTACATCACCCGTAAACGCTGCGTTCTTGAGACGCCCATAAAAATGCCAAGCGATGCAGTAGGTTTTTTAGGTTCATTGAAATCTGGCTCAGATATTGCAATTTCTCGCCCATGAAAGTTCTACAGCAAAAACACAAAATAAAACCCATTTTAAAATGTCATAGAAAACAACGCCTTTTAAAAAGTGAGGATGTGTGTGTGTGTTTTTTGATTGTTTGTTATTTTGTTGCTTTTTTTTGGGGGGCAATGCCTTTTCTTGATGCGACGGATTCGGCAGTGGCATTAGATCGTTTGAAATATAATACTACGATTACATTTAGTGTTTCACATTTCATCTCAAAATTAACCTTCTCTAAATAGTGTTCTGCACTTATAAATTATATTAATGCTTCTACATGAGGTTGTTATTGTGTTGATTTGATTTGGTTTCGCTGCCTCATATCTTCCATATAGTTTTCTTCCTCTTCTGTCTTTTAAAATTTAATTTTAATTTCATTTTATGTCAACTCGTCTCTCTCGCAAACGCTCACACAGAATGTTGCGTCGTTTTCACGCACGCATTCACAATTGTTATATTAGCATTATCACTACGATCTGTATCATGTGTGGAGTCCCTATATCCCCTATCTAACCCCACCCCACTGTGGAGAGTTTGAGACTGCGTTCCGCATGCCCTGCGTCGACCTTATTAATTCCTCGTCGTGTCTTTATGAAGGTTTCGTTCGGGGGCGTCCTAATGGAAAAGGCATTTGTTCCACTAACAGAAAAGGCCCTGGTATTTCACTGCCAGCTATACGGAATTCAGATGAAAAGTGCTTATGAAAATGTCTCAAAATGGCCAAAGAGCAGAACGAGCCGATCAAATTCAGGAATGAAAAGATTAAAGAGACGCTGTCATAAGTAACGGGTGAGTGCGCGTTCCTCGCTGACTTTGTAGTTGTGGGGAATTTACTCGGCCGAGAAATCATTCCGTATTCTTCACACACTGCTGCGAAACACGA